TAACGATTTTAAGGTATTAATAATAATATTTCAATAATTAAGTTAAAATAATTTAACCTAATAATTATTAAAATAATTTTAATATAAAATATTACAAATCACATAAAAATATATTATATTAATATTATTTTCTATATAAATTCTTATAACACCCATGAAATTCCAAAAAAAATCTAAAATAACATTGAACATAGGATTATTATTAAAAATTTACTTCCAGTATCGAAATCTTCATAGTAAAATAATTTCTAATTTATTTATTTATTTAATAAAAAATATTTAATATAAAATATACACTTGAAATACCATAAAAATGATTTCACTAGTAAAAGTTCCATGATAAATTGTGATCATGATAAATTTGAATTTTATTTCTCCGTTAATTGTATTCTCTTACTCATTATACTATTATGCTAATAAAACATTTCATTTTATCAACATACATTATTGCAATTTTCGCATCCAACTTTAAAATTCTTATTCTCTTATTTCCCTCAAATACAACCCCCTTTTATTCTCTCTCTCTCTAACACTAAAATCAATGCTTACCCATCAAAACTTTTCAATTTTTAATATCCTATGACCAAAATGATACACATTCCAATCCATCTAATAAACATTATAAACAACTGACAAAAATTAACATAAAAAATAAAAATAAAAAGAACAAACGAACGGATCGAACCAATTCCAAAAAAAAAAGAAGAAAAAAAAAGAAACTAGAAAAAAAGAAACTAGAAAAATGTTGATAACTGTATATATCAATGCAACTGTATATCAAAAACTGTATATCAATGCAACAAACAAGTACTACTACTACTACTACTACTACTACTACTACTACTACTACTATTACTATTACTACTACGTTCAATTCGGTCACTGTTTTAATCGCGAATAATAGACGTCTCTTCGACCAACGTTAACTTCCCATTCCCCCCTAAAACCAGCCATCACCCATACCCCCACTCGCCACCCAACCCGTAGCTACCCTTGCTCGTCCCGTTCTTCCTCATCCTTCCGGACTACGGCATCCGTGTTGCTATTATACACGCTCGCGAGAACGTAGTCACTGTAGTCGCTTTGGGACAGATTCATATAATTGAATTCGGTTCACTGAGCTTCGCTTGCTAGCTCCTGGAAACGTTCTCTCTTGCTCTGTTGCTCTTGCTATTAGAGAATACTCAAACGAAACAACACTATGTATAATACAACTATACGTGTTATATATGTGTCTATACAAGGACATGTGTTAGATCATATATTTGGATGTTCTGTGAGTATTAGTGTAGTTGTATAGGTAAATTTAAGTGTATAAGTAAATGTCCAGATGTATATGTGTATACATGTGACGGTTAGGTATATATGAGTATTAGTGAAATTGTATTGATAAATGTAAGTGTATAGGAAAATGTTCAGATATATGTGTGTTGTGTATGTGGATGTTTAGTATATATGAGTATAAGTGTAGTTGTATAGATAAATGTAAGTGTGTAGGAAAATGTTTAGGTGTGTGTATGTGTATGTGAATGTTGGGGGTGTATATATATAGTAAGCGGGCTAGTTTTCAACTGAACCATTGAGGCTAACGAGAGAATAACGAGCTACGACGAGGACTATAACGACAACAACGACATAGGACATAGATGACGACATAGACATTAGATGACAAAGAGAATGAAGACATTACTAAAAGGAATAAAGAGATATCTATACACGTTCGACTGGTTTGATCAATTTCAACAATGTTGTTCAGTTTAAAGTATAGAAGTAGCAATAGTAGCAGTAGTAGTAGTAGTAGAAGTTTCAATTACTGTGTAATAGTATCTGTGATTGTTCAGAGTCAACTGTTCAACAGTTTTCAATGAGTTTAGGTTATTCTCTTATTAGTAGGTTGATTAAACGTTTTTTGATGACAAGGTTAGGTTAGGATTTCATCATTGCATTGTATTACATTGCATTGTAATTGGGTTAAGGTTGTATCAAAGTTTTTTAGTGACTAAGTTAGGTTAGGATTCTATCATTGCATTGTAATTGGGTAAAGGTTGTATCAAAAGGGGATGAATTGATTTAATGTTTTTTTTTTCATGAAATTGCATTAGGATTACGTTGAGGTTTTATCAAGTTGCTGTAACTGTTAAAATTTCGTTAGTCAAAGTACAGTTTGCAATTGTTAACTTCATTCTGAGAGCTTAAAATATTTTTTTTTTGGATTAACAGATAGTGAAAAACAAGATTCTGATTTATAAAATATTATTTAAAGTTTCGTATGACTAGAAAATAATTTTAAGTGATTGAATTGAATCTTTCAGATACTATAGGAGTATAGTTATGTTGTTGTAGTTGCAGTAATAGAAATAGTTTAAATTACTATGTCATAGTATTCGATTGTTCATATACAGATTGAACTGTTCAACAGTTTTCAATGAGTTTAGGTTATTCTGTTGTTAGTAGGTTGATTAAACGTTTTTTTGGTGACTTGGTTAGGTTAGGATTCCATCGGGATTGCATTGTAATTGGGTTAAGGTTGTATCAAAGTGGGATTTGGATACTCTTTCCTATGAATTGATTTAATGTTTTTTATGGTGTTGCATTAGTATTGGGTTGTAATTATATCAAGTTTCTGTAACTATCATAATTTTGTTTCTAAGATTTGTTAAAGAGGGCTTATTGGTGTTCAGTTTGCAATTGTTAGCTTCATTCTGAGGGTTCACAATTTTAATTTAATTTATAAAATATCATTTGAAGTATCGTATGACCTAAAAATAATTTTAAATCAATTGAATTGAATCGTTCAGATAGTTATAGAAATATAGTTATGTTGTAAAAGTAGTAACAGAAGTTGTCGTTGAATGAAACAGAGTGAAAATGAAAGTTAAAGAGACAAGATTTGTGTGTGTGTATATGTTAGTGAGAGAAAGAGAAAATCGACAAAGAAGGTGCAGAAGGGAGAACGTTGAGGTTCAAGTAATGCTGTCAGACCGGATCCGTTTGTCCGTGAAAAGAGATGATCCGGTTCGTTGAGCAACGCGTACAAGTTGTGTTATGCGCCCTGCTGCTGCTGCTGCTACTGCAAGCTACTATGTGGTACATGTAAATGAGCGGAATTTATTCGAGACCACGTTGGAAAAGCGTTGGTAGACGCTAATCGCAAGGTAGATCGGTTTAACGAAAAAAAGAAGGGGGAGAATGAAAGAGAAAGAAAAAAAAGAAAAGAAAATAAATGTAAAAAAAAAAAAAAAAAGGAATGAGAAGAAAAGATAGTCGATGCGAATAAAACGACACGGATAAGTCGGATAAGCCGATCGGATAAATTTACGGTTCTAAATCGAAGCCAAAAAGTAACATGAGAGAAAACTAGATATGTGGTTATCAGCAAATATTGGTTTTTTAACTTGATAAAGATGAAAGAAACTTCTTTATAATTTTAAATCCTAATCTCATGTTTTTTTCTTATCTTTTTTTTTTTAATAATTTCTTTTTTATATAAATAATTTTTATATTTTATATCTTATCTATGATAGTATAGAATTAATCCATGTTTTCAAACTATTTTATTAAATTGTATTTTATATATTTAATTATTATATTTAAATTATTATATTTAAATTGTTTTATATATATATTATATTACAATTTTATTATTTATATCTAAATTGTATTTTAAATATTTAATTATTATAATTTATATTTAAATTGTATTTTATATATTTAATTATTATATTTAAATTACTATTTTATATTACAGTTTTATTATTTATATTTAAATTACATTTTAAATATTTAATTATTATTTACTTTAATATAAAATAAACCAAAAAAAAAAATATTAAAACTATTTCACCAAATATTGTACTACACTAAATTGTATCCTAAATAGTAAATTATTATATACTATAGTATAATATATGGTATATACTATATTAAAAAGTTAATCACAAAATATTTTAAAATTATTTCATTAACAAATTGCATCCTAAACAATAAATTATTTCTATTTAAAAGAAAATTAATACAATCACAATATAAAATAATACAATCCTAAAATAAGAATTAAATACTTTACAAAAAATTGATCATATAAAATAATAATAATAATAAGAATAATAATAATAATAAAAAAATGAAATATTTAACACTTTATATAATCAGTGTTATATAATAAAAGTCATAAACGATTTTGCGAACTTACAAATGCTACTAAAATTTCTTACCAAAGTGAGAGAGAACGTAACGACGAAGAAAGAGAAAGAGAAAATGATGGGAGAATATGAGAAAGAGAGAGAGAGAGAGTGAAATGAAACTCTTGGAACAGGAAAGATAGTATCTACAATACGAGTACGCATAACACACACACGCATGTTATACGTGAGAAGCGTGAAAACGTATAAGGGAAACGACGATGTACGAGTATTAAGCGTCGGCACTTATCTGCGACACGTTTACCGACACATTTTCCCTTTCTCTCATTTTCTCTCTCTCTCTCTCTCTCTCTCTCTTTCTCTCTTTCTATTTCTCTATCTCTTATGCGTGTAGCTCGTTTTCGAGAGATCGAACGAACCCCATCAAGGAAAACTTCACACGAGGAACATGCTTCCTACGAGTGTGAGAGATTGAATTCGCAAATATTGCTTCCAGGCTTTAAGTCTTCAACGATATTTCTTAACTTAACTTTATCTTTTAAAGATATTAAAAGTTATATTTTATATATGTATATATTAGTATGATTATTATTAAAATTAATATATTTTTTTAATATTAATTTAATATTAAAATAGTACTCACGCACATAAAATGCTCTAATAAATGCAATTGCAAATATTATATATATATATATATATATATATATATATATATATGTTATTATTAATATATATAATTTTAATAAAATTATATTTAAAATTAATATATAATTTTTAAGAATAATATTTAATAAATAATATTTAATTATTTTATGCGTAAAATAAATAAAAAGAATAATATGCGTATTTAATACTCACCGCTAATTTGAGAAGACGTTCAGAGGCCTTTGCAACATCCATGTTCTATAAAATAAAATAAAATATATATAATTAATATTAGACATTTTCTTAAATCAAATGTTAATCATGATCAAAACAATATTCAATTATTCTCCGAGTATTTTAAGTAGTACAAATCAAGCTACTATATACGTTCATTAAGTAGAGCAAGTCAAACATTAATGATCAAACATTTCTAAGTAGTACAAGTCAAGTATCCATATATGATCAAACATTGAGTAGAACGAATCGAACTGCCATTAATAATCAGACATTTCTAAATAGTAAAAGGCAGACGCTTCTTAAAGATCAGACATTTTTAAGTAGTATAAGTCAAGTACCCACATATGATCAAACATTGAGTAGAACACATTGAACTGCCATTAATAATCAGACATTTTTAAGTAGTACAGGTCAAATACCCTTATATGATCAAACATAAAGTAGAACAAGTCAAACTACTATTATAGATCAGACACTTTTAAGTAGTACAAATCAATATTTTCAATCTGGTCAGATATTATTAACTAATATACGTATAAAATCTTTACAAACATAATTCTATCATTGAGATAACAATAAATTATTTACAAATTAATTAATATATTAACTTTTAACTGTAATAAGTGAATGATTCGTAACTTTTGCTTGGTATTGTTTAATATAAATATAAAAAAAAATGAAAGAGAAAATAGAAAAACGTGGCCTAGGGTTCAGACGAAGGGACGACGACGGATAGAAAACAAAAGAAAGTTTGAAAAAGAGACGCGTGGGCAAAACACGTCGACGGATGCGAAATGAAACTTTCTAATTGGACTCGGGTGTACAGCTTTACGCTCTACAGGCTATCCTAAAGTTTCTTTCTCTCTCTCTTTCTCTGTTTCTTTCTCTCTTTAACTTTGTTGAAAGAACGAAAATAGCCCCGTCGAGTGTTTGTAAAAAGTCGTATAAAATTCGGCCCCCTTTTAAAAAACTTCGCCGAAAATGTTTTTTTTTTCTTTTCGTACCTTTTTTCTTTTTTTTTTTTTTTACGCTAAAAAAGGTCGTGACCTCGAGCGTGAAATAACGCAAGCCGTTATTGAAGTATTAAAAATTCAAACAGTACGACGAATAATGGGAGAGGATACATTGTTTTTACAAAAATTCTATTTTTTTTTTGCGTTCTAATCAATTTAAATCTAGTTTAAGTTATAGTTAGTCACAATTACACGTGTAGAAATTATTACGAGTTATGTAATATTGCAAAAGAGTAATTGTTTATAATTTTATATTACGAACGTTTGATATTAAAATCGAGAAAGAATATTTAATTGTGAAATAGCAATATATTTTCAAACAACACGCGAATGAAATTCTATTTGCGAAATATTATGTTTTAATTGTTTTCATATAAAATGTAAAAATAAAAAATAAAAATTATAATATATAAATATTATATAATAAATATATTAATAATATAAATATTATATAAATAACATAAATATTTTTAATATAATATTAATTTTATTATATTTAATACAACTACAAAATGTTATGTTTTATAAAATGCAATTTTTTTTTTAGTAAATTTAGTAACTTTTTATTACTCGTAAGTTAATTTATTACTATTAACTAGTAAGTTTTTTAGTATAATTTAGTTTATTTTATTAAATGTTATGTATATGTTATTATATTTATTACAAAATGTATGAACAATATCAGAACTTAAATTTGTATAATGAAACTATACACGGTGATCATATTTTAGATTTTATAATAAAAATTGTCCAACACGTACAAACTACTAGTATTACAATAAAAACACACACACACATAGAGAAGGAGGGGAAGAGAAAAAGAAGAAGAATAGTAGAAATCAAGATAAAATCGGTTGAAAAAAAAAAAACAAAAAAGGGAAACGATAGCAGAAAATTTGCCTAGGCATGGTAAATCCGAACATTTCGAAAATTCGAAAGAACGAACGAACATAGAAACTAACGATCATGTTCTCTTCAACATTTATTTCGTGTAATACCAATATCAACGATCGAATATCGGTCGTTACATTGCATTTCTGTTACTATCGTCTGACCATTGGTGTTACACCGATCTTCCTCTCGATTTAACGACACCAAAATGAAATAACGATCGTGCCACGCGGGTTATTTCGTTTTCCAATGAATATCAAAAAGTCCAGAAAAAAAAAAGCACATATAAACACTGTTTCTCTCTCACTCTCACTCTCTCTCTCTGTATGGTATAAAACGGCGTGTGACTTGCAAAACAAAAACCAACCGAATGTTCTATGTAAAATTTAAAAATGGTTCAATGTAAACTAAACCAAAAAAAAAAAAAACAACAAGGAAAATAATTAAAAGTTAACGTAAGAGAAATTTCAAAATTGCTGATGCTTGTTAAAATAATGTCTTTTCGAAAAAAAAAATAATACGAAGAGAGAAAAAGGGATGAAAGTGAAAATAGAAGGGGTGCAAGTGTGTGCAAGTGACGAAAAAATAAGATCAATTCTAAACGAGACACATTTTTTACCCATCAATCTTAACATTTTATTGATTTTATACATTAACTTTCTATTATTTATTCATTATTTTATTATTATAAAATCAAACTTAGTACTCTTAAATGAAAAATTAAAGAAGGATATACAGTGTAAATATCAAACAAATTTTGATATAAATCTGACCATGTTAACCCATCCCTTTTCCCTATTTCTATTCCAATCGTCACAATGCACTGTAATTCGATTGGATTTGTATTCAATTTTTCTTTATACTGTATATTTCTTTTAAATTATTATTTAGAATTGTTTTGTTAGAAAGTACAGGGAAGTCTGTAGTAATCAAAACAAAAAATGATTGTTGAGTTTATTTGACGAGACTTTAACTAGAATTATTATATATTGGAATGAAATGTAATTTTCACAGGACGATTTCGTTTGATTGAATGTATGAGTGCATATATATATATATATATATATGGAAGGGGAGGAGGGAGAGGGGGAAGGGGGAGTAGGGGATTCGTGCTTTAATATAGATACACACTCGAAAGGCGTCAAAGGGAGCAACCACCGATGGAATTGATATTTCGTGCCGTCTACTAATTGAATACAGGGAAGCACAACCCTCTGGTATTCTCCCTTAAGTGCCGGTTGTCGAAGTCCCTTTCAAGTACTGCTACACGACAACCCCTCTTCTATTTACACGTACATATATATATATTATATATAATATAATATGTATTATATTTATTAAATAAATCTGTATTTATTATAGTGATTTGTTTAACGTATACTATTATTTATAATATTAATATATATTAAAGTATTTTTTTTTGTTTATTGCAAGTATAATAAATATAATATTATTAAAAATATTATAATATTAATTACTGTTATTTTAATTGATAATAAAATTAAATTGTAGTTAACTATATAAAATAATTAATTATATAATTTTATATATATATTTATAGTTATTAATATATTAAGTAATAGTACAGTATAACATAAATATAATATATAATAATTTATATAATAATATAAATAGTATAATAATATATTTTGAGAATACTATATAATAAAATTAATATATTTATGTACTACAGTATTATAATACATATAATAATATATTTAAAATAATATATATCTTCATTACAATTCATATTATTAATCAATCAATATAATCCTAATATTCACCGATTCACCAATTCATTTCTCAAAATGCAACCTACACAACTACAACATAAAAAAAAAATCCATTATAAATATATATAAACGAAAAAAGATAAATCTCGTCAAATAAAAACTACTCGAAATAAAATCTTAAAGTTAAATGACATAAAAAAATATACACACCTACACACATATACCTGAACTTTTAAAGAGCATCGCAAGATACTCTTTCAACTCTCAAACACGTTCATTGTCAAAAGACAATAAATCCCTCGAGCTATTTCCATTCCTTTTTTTTTAATTATAATACGACCCTTTAATGTATAAAAAAAAATATATATATATAAAAAACCGATTAAAACCCCTATCCAACCAGTGCCGTAAAATATTTACGTTCAGCAGTGAGAAATAAAAGTATTTTTCTTTTGTATTTCATTTTATTTTTTATTGTTTTTACGAGAACGTTAAGATATATCCAACCGAGAGAATTTTTTACGCCTTTCCTTTTACTTTTATCCATTCCCATTCTTATCATAATCAACCCCTTTATCCCCATCCCTATTTTACTCGCTGCAGTTCTCTGTTTTCAATTTTTTTTGTTTCATTATTTCTTTTGTTAAAGAACGCGTCTAGAATGTAAGACAAGGGACATGTAATGGTTTATACCCTATCTACCTACAACCCCCCTTTACCCCATTTTTTCCCACCCTTCATCCCTCTTACTTCTATCTATCTATCTATCTATCTATCTATCTATCTATCTATCTATCTATCTATCTATCTATCTATCTATCTTTCTCTTTCTGTTCGTAATTATAACTCTAGGCACGTAGGAGATCGAGGTGCTACTCGTATCTGTCGTAAAATTCATCCGAGAGGTATACGAGGGCAAACGCGAGTGATAGCAAAAAAAAAAAAAAAAAAAAAAANAAAAAAAAAAAAAAAAAAAAAAAGAAAATAGAAAAAGAAAGAAAGTAAAAAAGAAAAGAAGAAGAAGAAGGAAAAAAAATGTAAAGGATGGAAGGTAAAGACCTTTCCTAGGACAAGAAAAAGGATTTCTCTTCCGTCTGACGGCGTATAATGCTACTCGTTTATAAAATCGTCTTTAGTGTATACATACACACGTTTCTTGCTTATATATTACGTACATTTACGTATGTATTTGTGTATGATGTAAGTGGTGAGGTGGGGGGAGGAAAGGGTAGGAAAAGAAAAGGTGAGGGGGTAAGGGGTTGTGTGTATGAGGGGGTTCAGTAATATCGGAGAAGAAGTAAGAAGAATAAATAGAAGGAAGAAGAAGAGGAAGAAGAAGAAGAAGAAGAAGAAGAAGAAGGGGTGGATTTGTTCAGGGGGTAAA